CCTCATGCTGGCAGCTGAACTTGGAAGTGTAAGGTCATCCAGGTGTTACTGGTTTTGAAGGCCTGAAGGAGTTGTGGAGAGTAGCTGAGGTTTGTCACTGTGTGGCCGGCTGGAGTCCCTGAAGAGAGCTCAGAAGAGGATATAGGTGAAAGTTCAGCCCAGTTACAGCAGAGATCCAGAATTTTGGAGATGCCAATAGTGTATGACAACCACAAGAGTAACGGCTGGTGTGGAGTGGAGCTAACCAGATGTAGGGGAAGCTGTAGCCACGCCTTCTTAGGGGCTGGCTACAGGTGTGCCTGACCAGGCTTGTGAGGGTGTGGTCAGAGTGACATAGTGTGACTGCGTTTTCGCTTTCGGTTTCTCTTTGCTTCTTGCTGTACAACCAGAGCCTAGAAGACAAGCTATGTGTGCTGCAGCGGTCGCCAGAGAAGCGACCCAAGCCCTTTAGAGGAGCCCAGAAGACTGTGAGGTCATTGTCTCTGCCTCTCCTCTTGCCATAGGATCACTGGGATTACAGAAGCATTCTGCCACACCTGACTTTATATGAGTTCTGGGGACTTGAACTCAGATCCTCACCCTTGTGCAGCAAACATTTTCCCCACTGAGTTGTCTCTCCAGGCACTTACTAATGTAACTTTCTCCAGTACTAGGAGTGAGAAGAGCCAATCACCGCCCAGAGCAAAGTGCTCACACTGGAGACCCACAGAAGCTTGACCATAGCCAGCCGTGGCTTCCCCTACACTCAGGTCTCTGTCCTTGTGCTGTCACACCAGGCTTCCTCCCTGCATGCCATCATGGTCTAGCCCTGCAGTGCTGGATGTCGCCTCTCTCCTTAACTCCCCTCTAACATTTGTACAGGGAAACATATAGCCATAGAACACTGGGAAGAGGGGAGCTGGGGTGCCAATGTTCAATTCAGCTGCCTGAATAACTAGAAGAGAGAGAGGACACCTGTCTTTTGTGATGCCCCACCTGATGCTGGTGCCATGGCCTGGCTGCAGGAAATGACTCTGAGTTAATGGTTTGAGCTTTTCCGTCATGCACGGGCTTTGAGATGGAAATAAAATGCAATGCGATGCCAAGCTGAAGGTTAATTGAGTATTTTGTGCACCACAGAGATGAAAGAAGAGCCCCCCTTTCCTTCATCCCCAGCCAGGCTGAGACACCCACAGATGTGGCCAGTTGGAGCTGGACAGAACTGCACCTTTGGAAGGCTTCCAAAGGAGAGGAGGCCAAGATAAGCAGAAATGGGGTGGGGTGGGCTGGTCCTCAACAACTTATTGGGTGGAGCTTGAAGCTGGGTAGGACTCCCTTCAAGAAAGCAAGAACCTGGGTGTCAAATTTTCCTTTTCCCACTGAATCTCAATGAGTTTTCCTAGTAACTTCTTCAGGGAAATGTTCTCATGAGTAGAATTGTGTGTTTATAACTTATCACAAGAGCAACAGGGAGCCAAAGAAGGCTTCTGAGAGCTGTGTGTGTATTTACATGTGTCTGATGCATGTGTGTGCACATGTATGTGTGTGCATGTAGAGGACAGAGGTTGATGTCAAATGTCTTCTTCAACTGCTTGCCATCTTAAATATTGAAGCTGAGTCTGTCATTGGCTAGTCAGTTTGCCTTGGGGACTCTGTCTGTTCCTCCCTAGTGGCATTTACATGACTCTAGTCCTGGGATTACAGGTGGGCTGCCATGCCTTGGTGGCTTTCTCATGAGTGCAGGAGACCTGAATTCAAATCCTCATGCTTGTGAAACAAGCCCCACCGGACCATCTTCTCAGCCTCCCATGCCACTCTAGAGTGGAGTTTTTCTCTCTGAAGTTTCAGTTAAGAGGATCTCAGAGATGATCCCCATTATTGATCCCTTCTTTGACAGATGCCTCCCAGCCCCTGGCCTCTAACTGAGGTAGAAAGGTGGGGGATGTCCTTCTGTATACATGTTTCTCTTATTGGTTGATGAACAAAACACTAATTGGTCAGGCAGGAAGATAGGAGGGACTAGGAGACAAGAATTCTGGGAAAGGTAGGCAGAGGGATACTGTAGAGATGCCATGCTACCAAAGGATTATGGGTAAGCCACAGCCTTGTGCAATTCATAGACTAACAGCATGGGTTAATAATTTAGAGACAGCTAGCTAATAAGAAGCCCTAGTCATCAGCCAATAGTTTTATAATTAATATAAGTCTCTGTGTTCACACATTCTCTGGGGATGAGAAGGGTGGCAGGACTGGGTGGGACAAAAGAGAGCCCACAGCAACAGTAGATTTCCCTAAATGGGCCACCCCTCCTTCACTCTCCGCTTGTATGGATGCTGTCTTTGCTGCAGGAATGCTTGAGCTCTCTCCTAATTTGCTTTCCTTCTTTTTCATCCTTTCTTGGAAAATGCTTCCTTCTAGCTACCCTTCTTGATTCATCCACCCACCCACCATCCACTAACTTATCACTCCATACAAGGCCTGCCTCCAGTAAACATGGACATCGATGTCCCATAGTCCTCATGGAAGACTGAAGAAACTGCAGCTAGGGAGAAGGCTTGGGGCACACAGCTTGGAAGAAAAGGAGGTGGAATTCTGTCCCTGTCCCACGAGGATCAGCTGTTCAAGATTTGTGGGGCTTTTGGCTCAGCTGGAGCAGGAAGGCTAAGGCCAAGCTCCAGGGACAGCTTTACATGATAGTCCACACACACACACACACACACACACACACACACACACACCTGAAGAATAGAGGATCCAGGAATGAACCCACATAGTGACAGCCACATGATCTTTGACAAAGGTATCCAAATCAGACACTGGAAAGAAAAACAATCTTTAATACTGAGGAATCTTGTAACATAACAGAAATGGACCTATGTCACCCTCCAAAAAAAGAAAAATCAATTCAGCATGGATCAAAAGCTTCACTCTAAGACCAGAAATTGCAACTGTTAGAGGGAATAGAAGAAAATACCCCAACATACTGGCACAGGAAAGGGCTTTCTGAGGGTGTTCAACAACTCAGGGAAAAGCAGTAAGAGACTGGACTGTACAGAATTTGAAAACAAGAGAAGCCACCAGCAGAACTAAGGGATGGATGACCTTCAGAGTGGTGGATCTTTGCCAGCATCACATCAGGATCGATAGCTAGTGTCTGTAAAGACCATGGGAAATTAACAGTCCCCCAATAATCTCATCAATCAGTGAGCACATGAACCAAACAGTTCTCCAAAAACAAACACAGGGCAATAGAGATGAGCAAAACATTCATTGAATGTTCTTAATCGCAAAGAACAGACAGATGTGAAGTCCATCTCACCCTAGTCAGAATGACAACGCATGCTGATACAGATGTAGGGAAGGAAAGCTTAGTCATTGCAGGTGGGGTGGCACTAGGACAGCCATGGGTCACCAGAAACCGAAAGTAGAATCCCAGACAGTTTTCTGGGTAGATGCCAAATGACCTAAGCTAGCCTTGTGCAGAGAGCTCATGCATCCAGGCCTATTGCTATTCATGATGACAGAGTGATGTGGCTAGCTTAGATATCTGTGGACAGATGTGTGGTTAAAGAAAATGTGGCATGTTTACACAGCAAGTTGTGTTCAGCCATAAAGAAAAACAAAATTATGTCATTTGCACGAAAATAGATGGAGTTGGAGACCATCTTGTTAAACAAAATAGCCAGACTCAGACAAATGCAACATCTCCCATATGCAAAATCTGGGTTTTTTTTTTTAAAGATAAGGGGGCTTTTTGAGGGGGGTTGAAAGAGTGGCAGGGGGCATAGCAGGGTTTGGAGACAGATCTGGTCAAATTGTATCACGGATACCACGACAAAGCCCATCAATCAGCTCACAATGAATATACACTACAGAGATTACACATTACAAAGATAGCTATTAGACATGTGGCACCTGTCTGCTGCTCACAGAGCCAGAGGCCCTTGGACTCCTGCTTCTGGTCTCTTCCCAGTCACCTGGGTCTGCCAGAAAAACTTTTTCCCCAGACATTACCATCTGTCCCTGTCCTCATCTCACAGAGGACAGTGGGAGGAGGCAGCTGAGAGGCCTCCAGAGGCCACCTCTCTCTTGCCTCCAGCAGTCCTTGGAAGCTGCCCTCCAGGCAGGGCGATGACCTCAGATACAAGCACTCAGAGCTAACACCTTCATTCTGGGCTCAGTGTTGCCCTCCTGGGGCGCTGGGGGCTGTGTTCTAGATGGACACATTGTGGTTGTTCCTAGGGGATGTGGGAAGCAGCCTAGGGCAGCTGCCTCCATTTAGTAAACACTTTCACCATTGTTACCTCCTAGTCACTTAGTGTAGTCTAAGGTCTGGTGAAATAAGATCAGACACTGACAGGGGCAGATATCTATACTAGCTGCAGAATGCAGACAAGGAAGTGCTATAGTGTGGCTGGGGCACCTGGCACAGCACCCTTCATTTCTGTTCACTCCAGCTATTTGATCATTCAAGAATTGGGGGCTGGCAAGATGTCTTGGTGTGTAAAGGCACCTGATGCCAAATCTGACAACCCTAGTTTGATTCCTGGTAGGAGGGAATCGCCTCCCACAAGTTGTCCTATGACGGCCCCACACTGCTGTGACATGCAAGCCCCGACTCCACTCACAGTAGATATGTAAATAAATGACACAAAGAAAATAAAAGGATCTTGGCACATCTTGTTCCACCTCGTCTTTAGTCTGAACTTTGCCGAGTAACCCTTCCTCCCCTTCTTCTTTATGTCGTATGCCCAGTGGCCATGCCCGTCCCTTATGCTGTGAGCTGAAGTCACATATGTGATTATCTGTGTACTCTCCCTGAACACTGGCCTCCTTGGCAGAACGAATTCATAAGAACCGGGACTGCTCTCTTTGTAGGCTGCTGGTTGTGTTGCTGTGGCAACCCCAGGGCTCTGCAACTCCCTGGCATGTACTAGGCACTCAGTTAATCCTGGCTGAAACAATAAAGCAGAAACCAGCTCCTCCCCACCGCTTTGGTGGAGGGTGCCCCCGACACTCACAACTGAATGTCCAAGAAGATCCGCTTCTCCTCCCCGACGTGGATCTTCCAAACACAGTCTTCGCCTTCTGCATAGGGCTCGGGCCAGTTTGGAGATAGCACCACTCCAGCCACAGCAGAGAGTTCCCCACCACACATGGCTGTAACAGATGGACAGACACACACCATTGTGAGGAAGCCGAGAGACAGCATAGTGGTTGGGAGTATGGTGGACGAAGTTGGCATCTCTGGGTCCCTGTGTAATCTATGTGTCCACATGAGGTGGTTGGGGGCAGCATGCACGTGTGTATTTGTGCATGTGTGCCCCTGTGCCCATGAGTGCGTATGAGCATTTATGTGAGTTTGTATGTGTGCACGCGCATGTGCTTGTGTTGTGCATGTGTGTGGAGACAGAGGCTGCTGGACTCATCTGCGTCTCGTTGGTAGAGTCTTCCCCACTGAGCATAGGTCACACTGTTCTGCCAGCTTTAGATGAGGTGTGTATGGTCTCATAGTATCTGCTTCCTTCCTTGTGTGGTCAGGAAACACCCTTGCTGGCCCCCTGGTGGAACATGACCGAGCTCACCACACCAACTTGAAGCCCTTCCCCTGGCCCCAGTGAGTGCCCAGATGGCAAGGAGGCTCAAGACCCTGAAAGATTCAGCCTGGACCAGAAGCAGAGATGCAGTGGCTGCTTTCCTCAGTTCCATTCTGTTTACTGCCTTGGAAAGTCCTCAACATGGCAGAGGCTGAAGCCTCAATAAATTCTTTCCTGTTAATGTAGCAGTTTAATTCAGGGGCCAGTCCCTCGCCAGAGCAAGGTTGTGACTCCATGCCAACTGCCAGGTGGTTGCCAGGAGTGAGGGCACCCTTTATTCCTCCATATGCCAGAGCCCAGTGGCCTCGGATACAGGAACTGGGGGGCCAGTGCACGTGAGGGTTGTCACAGCCAACACTGTCCAGGCTCTGATCACAGGGAAGCAAAGCCCACTGTCTCCTCCAGTGACCCTAGAAAGTTCTTTAGCATGTACCTTCCATGTCTGACTCATCACCATAAGTGGGGTTGGTGTCTATGGTATGTGGCTGTAGAGGGTATTGTCATGAGGAACATGCAGCTCTCAGTGGACTGATAGTTATCCATGAGACCCAGAGCTGCCATGTGCTGTTGGTTGAGTTGTACACTGTAGCAGCATATGAAGGAGGGGTGGCATATAGGATCCGACACCCACACAGCTGTACACTGCAGGTCTTTGGCCTGCAGGAAGGAACAGCTCCTAAAATGGACCATTTGTGACTCCCCAAGAACCAGCAGCAACTGGATCCAGAGGACCATTTTCCTGGAAAGGGTCTCATCCGAAAACCAGTGTGCAATAAATAAGGCCACACCTTCCAGGCCCGGGCCTTGTTATTTGCAGCCAGGTGGAGGCCCTGGTGTTCTAGTGTTGTGGGAGGTGGTGGCTCACCTCTGCATAGAGGCTCCGTGTCATTCCAGTATGGGTCACGCACGTTGACACACTCAATGACAGCTGGCCCCTGCTCCAGAGAGTGGCCAGGGTCACAGGTGAACTCCACAATGGTGCCGATGTTATAGGTGGGGTCTGACGTGGTGAAGTTCCCGTTTTGGATGTAGGGTTCGTAGCAGTGACCTTTCTCAAAGGCTGAGGTGGGGACACAGAGAGGGGTAGTGGCTAGATGAGGTACATGAGATTCCTAAATAAGGCCTTGTATCAAAAGTAAGAAAGAATGCATGAATGCAGGAGGGAGAGAGGAAGGGAAGGAGGGAAGAAGGAAGGGAGGAAAAGAGGGAGGGAGGGAGGGAAGAAAGGAAGGTAGGGAAGGGAGAGAGGAAGAGAGGAAGGGAAGGAGGGAGGGAAGAAGGAAGGGAGGGAGGGAGGGAAGAAAATAGGGAAGTCGGGAGGAAGGGGGGTGCACCAGGCTCCAGCACAAGTGAGGCTTAGCAGGAAGTTGGCATTAATACAACTGAAAATCCCTCTAGGAAATCATGGGCTCGTTGGGCACTGTGTCCCTCTCCCTTATACCCCTATATCCCCCATCCCAGGCCCAGGTTCAGCCTACATACTCTCCCAGCTCCCAGGCTCCACCTTACAAGAAAGAGGGTCCCTCACCCTCAAAGCGGATGTTGAAGGCGGAGGCTGCCTGGCCCTGGTCGGATGTGAACTCGATGCGGATGCTGCTGCCCTCACTCAGCAGGCCCTCAAAGGGCACGCTTTCCGTTCGGAGAGAGTCATACAGCAGGGCTGATGTGTTTGTCAGTCCACTGTAGACAATCATCCTGGCCGGAGAAAGGACAGAGGGGTGCTGACATGTCTTCTTGGGTCAGTGACACTGTGGCCAGAAGGGGACAGGGGTGCATGGGAGTGCCTTTCTGGGTCTCCTGCCTGAACTCAAATCCTGCCTTTTCAGTCTTCCTGGTCCCTCACAGAAATGGGGACTGCCTGCTTGTCCTGAGTCCCTCAGGGATGCAGGGTGGGTGTGAGCGAGAGGGCTCCTGGGGTAGTTACTGTGCATTGGGTTACTCTGGTCTGAGAGGTAAGGCTTGGATGGCAGTGTGGTCAGGTTATCCCAGTTAGAATTTCTGTTGCTGCCATGAAACACCATGACCAAAAAGTGAGTTGGGGAGGAAAGGATTTATTTGGTTTCCACTTCAGCATTGCTTTTTTTTCAGCAAAGAAAGTCAGGACAGGAATTCAAACAGGGTAAGAACCTGGAGGCAGGAGCTGATGCAGAGCCCTTGGAGGGGTGCTGCTCACTGGCTTGCTCCCCATGGCTTGTTGCGCCTGCTTGTTTATAGAACCCAGGACCGCCAGTTTGGGGATGGCACCCTCCACACACAATGGGCTGGGTCCTTCCCCACCAATCACTAATTGAGAAAATGCCCTACAGCTGGATCTCATGGATCCATTTCCTCAACTAAGTCTCTCTCCTCTGATGACTCTAGCTTGTCACGTTGACACACAAAACCAGCCGGTACACAGGTGACATCCCACTCTGCAGGCTAAGGTCTGAAGCAGGAGCAGGGTGGGCATACCCAGAGTCCCACTCAGAGCCTGGCTTGTTGCCACTGACTATTACCCAGCCTGAGGGTAGAGCGGTGTCATTTGGGGTAACCTCTGTGAAAATATTCCTCCACCACTCCCCCCATTGTTCTGACCTGGCTGTAGAAGGAAGCTGTCACTCTTGATGATGCCTTGAAGACAGACCCAGCACCTGGCCCCTCTTTCTCTGAGAGCCTCTGCTTTCTCCACACCGATGGGGTGTGGATTACTTCCTTGACCTCTCTCTGTGTCCCTCTCTCCACAGCCCCCCCCCCCCCCCCCCCCCCCCCCCCCAGTTCTATCAGCCAGGAGCTCCTGTGAAATCCTCTGCAAAGTTTGTGTCCATCTTGTTCTTGGGTAGAATCTCGTCAGGGCTCTGGCTTCTTATAACTCACATACTGGTAGGTTTGAGCTATTTGTTTTCAATAACATTCATTGGGTACATGAAACTGCACAGCCAGTATCTTCAACCACTGAAGACACTGGAGCACTAGGGTCCCTGGGGCCAGCTTAGCTTCTCTGAAGGTGTCATGGACAACAAGCAGAGTGGAGTGTCTCTGGGTTAGTTGTCATAATCCACATGGCTTTTAGAAAGCACCTGTTTTAGTCTCACTGTGTTTCTCTCTTTGTCTCCGTCTCTCACTGTATTTGTCTCTGTCTCTCATTCTTTGTCTGTCTGTCTCTGACTCTCACTTTATCTCCCCACCCCCTGCTCCAGTGCTGGAGAGACAACTCAGGCCTTGCACATGCCAGGCAACAGCTTTACCACTGAGCTACATCCACAGCCCTTGGCTGTTTGATACAATTTCACCCTGGCTCATGTTGGCCCTGAAATTAAAGCCCTCCTCCCTCAGCCTCTTGAGTGCTGGGGTCACAGATGTATGACACCATCCCTGGCTTTCTCATTCTTTCTCTTTTCTCCCCCACCTCCCTCTTTTCCTCATTCTTTTCTGACAGGTTCTCTGTACGTAGTCTTTTTCTTTGTTTTCAGACAGCATCTCACTGTGTAGTTCAGGCAAGTCCAGAACTCACAGAGATATGGCTATCTCTACTTCCTGGTGCTGGAATTTAAAGGTGTATACCATGGTTCTTTTTTTCTTTTCTTTTTAAAGATTTATTTTATGTGTATGTGTGTGTGCCTGCTTGTCTGCATGTGCACTGTGTGCATGCAGGTGCTCCTGCAGGCCAGTAGAGGGCACCAGATTCCCAGAACTGAAGTTACTGAACCCGGGTAGGTCTTCTTGCAAGAGCAGTTAATCATCATAACCATTGAGTGTCAATGTATCCCGGCTTTCTCATTCTTGTCTGTAATAAATGCCAGTTCTGTTTACCTCCAGTGCCACACTGGAGAGGGAGACTGGAGAAGACTGTTTTGAAGAATGTCCATTAGCAAGGTTTGCATGCCTAGCTATAGGCAATCTTTTTGGAAAGGGGCTGTAATTTGACACTGGAGCACCCTTGGTGACAATGGCCCACCTCTGGTGACCTTGGAGCACCTCTGGTGATACTGGAGCACCCTAGTGACATTGGAGCACCCCTGGTGACATTGACCCAACCCTGGTGACACTGGAGCACCCCTGGTGACACTGGTCCACCCCCAGTGACACTGGAGCACCTCAGTTGCTCTGCCAAGAAGTTGTGGGAGAGCCTCCCTCCATTTTTCACACATCATACTGGTTGGTGACTTTTTGACACAAACCTACTCTGTGTCAGATTCTAGAATTCCAGAGTTGGTGTGCTGGATGCAGTACAGCTGCCAAGGTCCTACCCCTGCACATTCCTGCAGCTCTAGTCATCCCTTAAGGCTTTGCTGGTTCCCTGTCACTCAACCCCAAGACCTATATAGCTCACCCAGCTTGTTAAAGGGAGAGGGCAAGGATGGGGAGAGTGTGACCATAAATACGGTGACTGTATTCAGCTCTGGATAAATTCACTGGCTCCTTCATCCTTCCAATACGGCCACTGTGAGGTCCTGGAGGCTAGAATCTCAGTTGTCCCAGGATCTATCTGCTGATCACACACACTGCATTCTCTTCCTGCAGTTTTCATGCCACCCACTGCTCACCAGAGTGTGGTGGTTTGAATGTAATTGGTTACCATAAGCTCATAGGGAGGGGCACTAACAGGAGGTGTGGCTTTGTTGGAGTAGGTGTGGCCTTATTGGAGGAAGTGTGTCACTGTGGGGGCTGGCTTTGAGGTGTCCTTTGCTCAAGCTTCACTCAGTGTAACACTGAGATCACTTCCTGTTGCCTACTAGATGTAGGACTCTCAGCTACTTCCCCAGCACCGTGTCTGCCTGCACGCTGCCATGTCCTACTATGATGATAATGGACTGGACCTCTGAAGTGTAAGTGAGCCACCCCAATTAAATTTCTCCTTTGTAAGAGTTGCCGTGGTCATGGTAACAGCAATAGAAGCCCTAAGACATGGGTAAACTCCCCTTCCCCACATCCCTATCCCTCACCTGCTTTCAGAACACAACCTAAGGCAGGCTCTGGTTTTCTAGAATGTTCTAGAACAAGGTTCTAGAATATTAGCCTTGAATCTGGAGTACTCATGTTTATTTACAGTCTGCACACATGGGCCTGGCGGAGCTGTTGCCCCTCCCACTTGCCTGCCTAGCTTTCTCCAACCCAGAGTTTCTCCACTCCTTGCTTCCTGTCTTCCCAGGAGCCAGGGCTGTCTGTGCTGTGCCTGTTTTCCATGGAGAACATGTGTTTGTACAGAGGAGGCACAACTCCTTATCCCACTAAGAAAGAGATGTCGAAGTGGAAGCCCCAGGCGTGGGGGCGGGGTGGGGGTGTGTGTGTGTGTGGGTGTGTGTGTGTGTGTGTGTGTGTGTGTGTGTGTGTGTGTGTGTATGTGCTTGATCCCTACCACCATCCCCTAATTTCCTAGGTGGCTCAGGCAAGTTCCTCTCCTCTGAATGCCTCAGTTTCCTGATGGTTATAAGTTCTTCATCCTCCTTTTCCAAGGCTTTCTTTGGGGGTCAGCCATACCCAGACTGCACACCCACCCTCTCTAAGGTGGGGAGGGGCGGCCCGTGTGGATGGCTCACCTGTCCTTCTCTTGAAGCATTAGCCTTTCAAGATGCAGGTGCAGCTTCTGACCCTCTGGGGCCTCAATGGTCCACACACAGAGCTGGCTGCCATTGGTGTTTCCAGGGTAACTTGGGGAGAGAACTCGGCCAATGGTGGCGTTGTGCACGGCTCCTCCACACGGGGCTGGGTGCAGAAAGTGAGGTGTAAGGTGGGAGGGAAGAGCAGAGAGGAAGCGGTGGGCTTGGTCTCCCCTCAGTGCACCCAAGTCCTCCAGCTGGGGTGGAGCAGGGAACACAGGGGAGGGGACCTGCTGTCCCACCCCATGCCTGAGGCAACCAACATCCATGTGCTGCTACAAGGAGGACTTCAATGTAAAGACTGAGCCTAAATGTTCATTTAAAAATCCACATTCATTCCACATTCATTCATTCACTCACTCAATCACTCATTCATTCATCCATGTGTGCATATGTTACAATCCTCTGTGGAAGTCAGAGGACAGCCCACAGGAGTTGACTCTTTCCTTCAACCATGTGGGTCTTGCGGATTGAACTCAGGTCTTCAGGCTTGACAGCGAGTGTGTTAACTCAATGAACCACCTCACTGGCCCGATGCCTCGACAATCAGTTACGAAATGATTCTCAGGGGCAGACAGGAGCAGTTCACGGAAGGAGAAGCATGTACTAAGGACTTAGTGTGCAGACACTGCAGCAGCATAAGAATAGAAGAAACTCCAGCTGTGTTCTGCTTTTACCCACCCAATGGCAGGCTGAAAAATATCAATAAAATCGGAGCAGTATCAGCAGTGGGTATGGTCTTACTTTTTCACGGTGGGTCACTCACCAGCTGGGCTGTGACTATTTCCTGAAGGACAATTCAGCAAAAAACTCATTTTAAAACCATGTCGGAACACCCTGACCCAGAAATGAGCCCTGGGAGTTTATCCTGCGGGAAGCTTCAGATTTGATCTAACTTGTGACTGAGGCTGCCCAACTCCGCCTTCATCCCCAAATTCAAAATCAGAACGGGAGTGAATCTCTCAGCACACACTGTGCTTCCACGGAGCCACCAAACACCACCTTCTCAGAGACTGCTTGTGAATCCAAGAGCCTGAAGAGGCAGCGATGCTAGCAAACGGCCTGCCTGGTCCATTCCTGTGAGTGAGCTGCAGGGATAGCTTGAGACCATCGGATATAAAAGTGATTTGTTCCTGTCTTCTGTACATTTGTGTTTCTGGAATTTTCTTTTAACCAGAGCCATATAACACTTTTATGTTAAAATAATATGGTGGGGTGATGCTGCAAAGTGATTTGTGGCCCGCACAGCTGTCAGATCACAGAGGAGAGGAAGTGCAGGGCTCCCTCCCAGGGGGTCACAGTGTGGGTCTGTTTTAATGTGGTGTTTGGGAGAGCTGGTCCAAAGCCTCTTGGTCCAGGGTAAACCCTGTCCTTGAGGAGGAATGGGGACATATAGGAATCTTTCTTGCCCAAGCACAAGGCCCAGTTCCCCCTCCAGGGTCAGAGGAGCAGAGCATACAAGCACAACCAGGGCCTCCATCTGGAGCCAGATCAGACAGGTTATGTTATGGAGCTGCCTCTGCCATTGAGGACAAACACTGCCCCTGGTTCATCCCCATGTTCTGGGGGTCCCTACCCAGATGTCCCCTGTCTTCAACTCCTTTGTTTGATTTAAATTTTGTTTTCCTTTAAAGACAGGGTCTCATGTAGTCCAGGCTGGTCTCAAACTCACTTTGTAGGGGAAGATGACCTTAACTCCTCATCTTCTTGCCTCTCCCACCTGAGTGCTGGGATTCCATGTGTGCTGGGTATTGAACCCCAGGCTTCATACAAGCTAGGTGAGCACTCAAATTAATGTCCCAGGCACTCGTTGCCATCCCTGTATTCTTCACACCTCTTCTAGACCAACCAGGCTGGCCTCCAACTCAGAACTCAGAGATCTGCCTACCTCGGCCTCCCAAGTGCTGGGATTAAAGAAAGGCATTGTTCTTTTTAAGAATTTCTCTGCAAACACATTTCACAACAGCTTGGGCTCTTGGCTGTGATGACAGTAGGGTCTTAGGGGACCCCAGCAACTGATGATATGGTTTATAGTCTGTGCTCGGTAAACATTAATTTCCATTTAGTTACTTCTTAAAAATTTGAGAGAGGGTCTCCATTTGTAGCTCAGACTGGACTTGAACTGTGAATTTTCTGCTTCAGTCTCCTAAATGCTAGGATTGTAGGCTTGGCTTCGTGAAACATTTATTGAACAAATAACAACTATTTACTTCACAAATGGGTCAAAGAAGTTAAGAGACTTTAAGCCACTTGCTCAAGGACACACAGGTAACAAGTAGAGCCACTGGGATGTAGGCCAGGGTTGCTTCAAGCCATGTCTCATTCACAGTGGTATCTGATGATTCAGGAAGAATCCAGGGTTGGGGGTAGAGGGTGAAGGGTGAAGGGTAGAGGGTGGAGGGTGGAGGGTGGAGGGTAGAGTGGGCACTTGATAAATGGCAGATGAAGAAAGGTTGCGCCTTGCTTTGGTTCACTTAGCACTCCAGCTCAGTTTTCAACACACATAGATATTCACAGAGTGTTTGTTGAGTGACACAAGATGGAATTGAGTTGACAGTGAGAGAGAAGGTTTGATAGCTTTCCCTTGCCCTGAACTCAGCTGTGTGGCAGGTGGTGAGAGCACCAGGAAGTCATGCCTCCTGAGTGCAGGGTTCCTTTTCTGTTCCATTCCAGGGATACTGTCCTCTTGTTATCAGCCTGAGGCTCGAGCCTCCATTGTATCGCTCATTGGTGATGGATTTCACACAGCAAATGAAGTCATCTGAACCTGAGGTATGCCCATGGTGACTTGGGGTGGGACATGATCTCACCCATGACAATCCCTTATGAGGAACAGGCTGCTACTTCCCATCCTGTCCTGTTATCTTCTGACATATGTCAGTATAATTTTTTTGACAGGGTCTCACTATGTATCCCTGGCTGTCTGGAACTCTCTGTATAGATCATGCTGGTCTCAAACTCACAGAAATCCTCCTGCCTCTGCCTCCTGAGTGATGTTGATATATTCTGACTTCCTCAAACCTGCCAAGTCCTTTCATCTCTGGGCCTTTGCACAGGCTAGCTCACTGGCTGGGACAATTTCCATCCTCTGTCTTTACTTAGCCTCCACAATCTGGTCTCCCAGGGACTCCTTTCTGGGTCTCTGGTCTACCATCACCTCTTGTTCCTGAGCCCTTTCTCTGAGGACAGGGTTTCTCCTGTCCTCATTTGTTCTACAACATTACTCCTATGGCCTCCTCTCTGTAACTTCCTGCTCACACCATATTGGCTCATCTGGTCACATATTGTGGTGGTTTCAGTGAGAATGACCCCCATAGGCTCATATATTTGAATGTTTATTCACCAGGGAGTGGAACTGTTTGGGAGGGATTAGGAGGCGGGGCCTTGTTGGAGGAAGTTTGTCACTGGGGGTGGGCTTTTTAGTTTCAAAAGCCTGTGCCAGGCCAAGTCTCTCTCTCTCTCTCTCTCTCTCTCTCTCTCTCTCTCTCTCTCTGCCTCCTGCTTGTGGATCATGATATAAAGCTCTAGGTTACTGCTGTAGTTTCATGCCTGTCTGCTTTCCACCACAAAGATTATGGACTAACCCTATGAAACTGTAAGCAAGCCCCCAATTAAATGCTTTTTTTAAAAAAGAAGGATTGCCTCAGCCTTGGTGTTTGTTCACAGCCATAGAGCAGTAACTAAGACATAATGTCCTGCATCAAGCTGCTGACTCTGAGAGAGCCCTCACAGCTCCAACTGTGGGCACAAAGTCCAGTAAACAGTGGACACTCATGGGTGTTGGCAGGATATCAGAGTCTCCCTGGGCCAAGGATCCTTGAAGGATTAGAGACCCACGGGCCAAGGATCATGGCTGTCCTTGGAATCTAGGATTCCATCTGCAGGCCTGCACCATCCACTTCTCTCCACCAGAGGACACTAGACTACCTTAGTTGGTGACTATCAACAACTTTTGAGTTCACATTGACTGAGTTCAAAAAAATAAAACCAAACAGCATCAACCACCTGGAAAGTTCAAACAACAAAAGAAATAAGGGGTATTTCAGACCTCATCATCTTTTTAAAAAAAGGTAGTGTCACAGGCCATACGAAGAGGTCAAAAGAAAACCACAGAACAGGGGGAGAGGCCTACAAATTGTATCGCATAAAGGTTTGGATTAAGCACATGTAAAGAGTGCTTACAGTACAAACAACAACCCAGTAGTCTCTTGAACAATGGACACAGGGTTTGAAGATCCTTTCTTTGGAGAGGGCACACTGACAGCTGCCAAACATATAAAAGCATTTTAAAAGACGTGTGGCATCAGTTCATGAGAACATGGTGAGATGCCTTTAGAGCTACTGTGCTGGTTTCAGAACACAGAAAATAGTGAGTTGGCAAGTGCTGGCAAGACAGGACCGCTGTACCATCGGGGGAAGGTGAAATGGTGCAGCCGCTGTGGGAAGGGTAATCTTGTAGGGGTTACACTATATGACACAAGGATCATATTTAAGACAAATGAAAACTTATTTCCATGTTCATAGAGATCAGTTACTTAGATCAAAAGTGGAAATAATTCTAATGTCCCATGAGGGACAAGCAAACAAAACAGAATATAAGCCACATGGCAGAATATTACTCAGCCACAAAAAGGAACCACAACGATTATATATGCTGTAGATCTTGAAAACCCTATGGCTACTGGAAGAAGACTGACATAGAAGCCACCTGTGTCACCTGTGTGAGATCTCACAACAGAGACAGAAAGGTGGCTGCCGGGGTGTGGGCAGGGCATTGTATGTCTGATAAAGGCTTAGCATCCAGAATATATAAGAAGACAACCTCAGCCACTAAGTAGACTGCTGTGTGACTGCAAATGAGCAAGGTTCCCACTGGACAGAGTGGCAATGGCATAGAGCCCTACTATGTGCTAAGTGTCCTCAGGAGTCAATTTTATGCATTTTATTACAACACAGCTTGGAGAGTAAAAGCCTTGCCCAAGGTTACTCCAGATGGCATAGAGCAGTGGTTCTCAACCTGTGGGTCTTAACCCCTTTGGGGGGTCACATATTAGATGTCCTGCATACCAGGTATTTACATTACAATTCATAACAGTAGCAAAATTACAGTTATGAAGTAGCAATGAAATAATTTCATGGTTTGGGGGTCACCTGACATGAGGAACTGTATTAAAGGGCTGGAGCATCAGGAACATTGAGGACCACTGCACTTCAGGGTGCTGCCTCCCACCTCCCGGCTGGTGGACACTGTGGTACCTGAGCAGACAGGCTCCTGGCTGCTCCAGTGGGGTTTGGAGGCATTTATGCAGGTCAGAGTCTTGGCTCCCTGCAGCTCGTAGCCCAGGTGGCAGTGGAAGTGGGCCACCCCACCAGAGTGCAGATCCATCACTGTGACATCTCCAGCTTCAGGCCGGCGGGGAAAGCTGCAGCTCAGCATGAAAGCTAGGGAGAGAGGAGAATTGCAAATGCATCAGCTGCGGACAAGGAAGCTGTGTGACCCACATCCGGGCAGAAGCCTTGTGCTGAGGACAGAGGGACAGAGAGGGACCCTGGGGAGGCTGGGTGCTGGAGTTGCCACCTTGGTGGTCTCTCCACCTTATTTTTTGAGGTGAGGTCTCTCACTGGCCTGAAGCTTGCTGATTTGGCTAGGCCAACAGGCCAGCAAGTCCCAGGAATACCCCTGTCTCCACCTCCCACCACTGGGGTTATAGGTGTGCCCAGATTTGCCATTTATGTGGGTTCTAGGAATGGAAGGGCAGTCCTTACTTTGTTCTTGGCTTTAAAAACCTTTGCTCTCAGACAGGATGGAGGGTTCTATAATCAGTGCTAGTGGGGTCTCTGGCATGCACACGTGTACACACACACACACACACACACACACACACACACACACACACACACACACAAAGCCCAAGAGTGTGGCTGAGTGTTGGAGGAACGTGAGGCCAGTATCTCCATCCAGCTGGCCTCAGAGGATCCTACCCTGGTAGTGCAGCTGGAAGGTCCCAAGGCCGTCATCCTGGAAGGTCCGGAAGTAGACAGAGATGGCATTGGTGGGGCTACGGATCACCTGGCCTTCCACCAGGAGAGTCTGGTTGGCTAGGACTGTCAAGGTGGGGCCGTCCACCCCACGGATGGAGAGCAGCTCCCCCTCAGACAGGTTCACACTTTTCACCTGGAGGGGTAGACAGACAGATGGGGCAGCAGGGGTGCAGCCCAGAGAGGGTGGGAGAGTCCCCTCTGTAAATAACTGCACTGGGAACTGAGTGGCTGCTTGAACTCAACACACTCCCTCCTGTCTGTGTGAACTGGTAAGGTGGAGAGCAAGGGGCACTCTCTAAGGCCCTCATAGCTTTTTCTCTCTTCCCCTGTGACTGCACTCCAGGGCAACCCACCCTTCTCCAGGCACTGACTGTTTACTTCTACTCTCTGTGTTGTAGCAGGTGGATAGGTGGTACTGTGTACCCGTGTACACACACATACGCGCACACATGTCTTGTATGTGGTGCCTGCCTGTGTTTAATAAGCAGGACATTAAGGTAACTGTTAGTATTCTGGCACCTGTTCTGGCCTGTCCTTGGGGTTCTGACAGGATAGGCCCTCAGCTGCAGCCACTAAGAGCACCAGCTGTGCATATTCACTATGTTCCCTTTTAAAAGGGCCCTGCCCACCTCCCATCCTTCTCTCTCTTTCTCCCCCTCTCTCCCCCTTTTTCCTTTCTCCCCTCTCCTGCTGCTCCTGTCCTCAGAGGCCAGTCTCCCCCTTCCCTTTCCCCCTTTTATGATCCCTTTCCCTCATAAAAACCCCTCTGCTTGAACCCCGTCACATGGCGTCTTTCTCATATGCGCCACTTTTCTTAAATTACAACAGTAATACAGCCGATGCTTTGCCAACATGTCCCCTCCATGTTCCCAGGCTTCAGTGGGACATGTGCTTGTGGGAAGTCCCACTCTATAAACCCAACTAAAATAACATGATTTGAGGACAGGAGATCTGCAAGGGCAACCGAGACTAGGTTACCTGCAATTCCACTCCATAGCCAGTGTAGACCGTCACATTGTATGTGCATTCCAGGAAGCTGCCCAAGGGCTGAGGCGGGAAATCACTGGAGTCCATGTATCCCTCGGGGTCAGAAAAGCTCACACTGCAGAGAGCTACGGAGAAACAAAGGCTGCCCTCAGCACACAGGGGGCTGTGGCCAGCCTAGGCGCTCACTGGAGCTCATGCATGGGCTGTGGGATCTATGCTTTATTGTGTGTCCACCAGACCCCATGCACCTCTGGAGTAAATAAAGAAACAAAACCAGTGCTGCTGCTGCTTGGCAACAGGCAGGGGAAGCTGAGAAGTGTCCAAGATCAGAACCCTGCAGCTGTAAATTTGAGTGGGGATGGCTGTCTTGTTTTCATTGACCCCTTGCTGATCTCTGCCCTCTTCTGACTGAAGTTACAAGCCATCAGGGGCAGCCCCATTCAGCCTTAGACAGAATGGCATTCCACTCCCATCAAAAAATAATTTATTAAGATTTATTTATGTATCTGGTGCTCTATCTGCATGTACACCTGCTTGCCAAAAGAGGGCATCAGAACCCACTATAGATGGTTGTGAGCCACCATGTGGTTGCTGGGAATTGAACTCAGGACCTCTGGGAGCGCTGACAATGCTCTTACTGCTGAGCCATCTCTCCAGCCCCATTCCACTCCCATCTTAAAGACAGGTAGGCCAGAGCACAGGGAGGACCCTATCTGGGCCGAGTTCACACAGCACACATTCAGACCCAGCTAATAGCATTAGTTAGGTGCAAAGTTCCCCCACCCCCTTAAATGGCAGTGTTGGTGACAATGTCCTAACAGAAGGACTTTGGCTGGGAAAACAGAAGGATTATTCATTGGTAAACAGAGGCCTGAAGGTGGCATTGTCAGGAGGTTCCCACAATTTGACCCCAAAGGTCGACTACCTTGGGCAAGGACACCTGGCTCTTGGTGTCCATCTGAACAGCCTATATCAACTCAAAGACCCTGCCCTGTCATACATAATCTGGTTGCTTTTCCACATATTTTCTCTTCTCTCTGCTCCCCACCCCAGAGGGGTGGAAAAGGCCTTGGCAGTTTGCTCCCCGGTAAACTGTTCTTTCTACCCAAGGAGAGCTCTAGTTCTGCTGTTTCACGGTACCCTTGCTTGCACAGTGAGCATGGGTATGAACATGGGATGTTCATACAGCTGTATTGCCCCTCTCCATAGGTGAAGGACCCAGACACAGAGGCACCAAGTGCTTGCAGGCTGGAGAGCATGTTCAGCAGTCCGTCCACATTATGGTTGGGGTTCCCCTGCTCTCTCTCTCTCTCTCTCTCTCTCTCTCTCTCTCTCTCTCGGGTTTCTCTGTATTGTTTTGGAGCCTGTCCTGTAACTCTCTCTGTAGACCAGGCTTGCCTTGAACTCACAGAGATCTGCCTGCCTCTTCCTCCTGAGTGTTGGGATTAAAGGCGTGCGTCACCAATGCCTGGCTCCCCTGCTCTTTTGTCTATCGCTTCTAACTAAGCTCCAGCCCCTTCTATAGGAAGATGTGGGCCGTGAACACCCTGCTCCCTTATGCTCTCAATCACTTACGGTGATACCCCTGCTCCAGATCATGATGACAGGATGCTGTGTGAACAAATCTTGTATGGTTTAGAAAATAATATGAGGAAGAAGTTTGGGGATCACAAGACTGACACAACTAAATCTTCTGACATCTTTGTATCCATGGTTGGCTGACTCCACAGAGGAGCCCAAAGATAGGAAAGGCCACTATTCTGGAAAAGTCAGTGCACTTTGGGTGGGGGCTTGACTCCGTAGTAGAGCACTTGCCTAGCATGTGCCAGGCCCCAGGTTCTGTTCCCAGGACATACATGCACACATGTGCACATATACACACTCCCAAAGCAAAGTAAAAAGCAGGTTGGCGTGGCTCAGTGCTATCGTGCCCTCCCTCCAGGTTCAGGCCCCCCCCCCCCGGTCCCATACCCACTGTGGAAAATCCAGAAATGAACTACAGCAGGGCTAAGAGGTGAGTGTGGCACACCTGGGGCCTGCTCCGTGGTGATGATGGTAGTGGTGATGATGGTGGATGTGGTGGTCTCCTGGCTCTCCTCAGAGGCAGACCCCGTCAGCTCATTGTCACCCTTGTCCATCGGGCTCCCCGGGCTGCTGTCATCCGGGGACTGTGCGGGCTCTGGGCTGTTTGGGAGTGTGGTCACCAGCGTGGTGAAGGGCACGATCTGTAGTGGCGCAGGTGCTGTGGGCTGTTCAGCGTCTCCGGGCACATGAGGCTTTGTGGTGGCCGAGGTGGAGGACCCTAGTCTCTGCAGGGTTGTTGGGGTGGCCAGGGGCCTTAGCTGCCTCCGGGCAGAGTTGAGTTGCTTCAGGGATGGCAGGTTCTTCCTGAGGGCTGGGGTGTGCTGGACACTGGCCTCATCAGGGACTGCAGGGGGCAACGACCCCTCCAGTGTTTCCAGTGCTTTCTGGGAGGGCAGGGGACCTGGGGCTGCTGATGTCACCTCCTCTTCCAGGTTGCTCTCCAGAGAGGCAGAGGGCAGGAGGTAGGCTGTGGAAGGGTGTGTGTCTCCCTCTGGACCACCATCTGGGGAGAAGTGGAGAAAATATAGCCATTAGCTTTAGGCTGCCTCACCTCCTGTCATCTGTGAGGTTGGCATCTAAGGGTGACAGCCCAGACTGGACAGGGGGCCATTAGTTCACTGACCTCCCTTCCTTCCTCTCCTCACTTCCTTTGTTCCTCTTTTCTGAAGAGTTGGGGTCCATCATGGTGGGACCCACTAAGGGTTAAGGCTACAGAAGCTAATGGCATCAGCCTCATGGTTGTGGTGGGTGGAAATGCCTCATGGTGATGGTGAGGGTGCTTTGTATGAAGCAGGGACCCTACAGAACATCACAGGAGGTGCAGTTATTTGCCAACTGGTTCAGATGCAGATTCATGAGGGACATGTGAATACAGGCAGAGGCTTGGTACTGGGGATGACATTTGCCCCAGAGCAAGGAGCATGGGGAAGGAGGTCTAGGGCCAGAGCTGGCAAGGGTGGGAGGGTTGGCAGGGTCAGTGGACCTTGTCATTCTGTGACTTGTTTCTACCTTGAGAGTAAAACATGACCCTAGCAAAACCAATTGCAAGCTGAAGGTTAGATCACACTAAACACATCTGGCTTCATAGCGTAACAACCATGCACCTTGGAGTGAGTGCCTTTTGGTCACTTTGTTGACCCACACATAACCAGTATTCAGTTGCCTGTGGCTCCCAGGGTCACCAGAGAAGACAGTGCCACATACTGCCATCCTAGGAAAAGATCTGAGCTCCATTGAAGGGTATGGCTGAAGGGGTATGACTTTGGCAACATCGCTGGTTTTTCTTTCAACAGTTTAAAAATTACCACTTTGCGCTGGTGGCGCATGCCTTTAATCCTAGTACTCAGGAGGCAGAGGCAGGTGGATCTCTATGAGTTCAAGGCCAGCCTGGTCTATTGACAACCAGGGCTACACAGAAAAACCCCGTCTCGGAAAAAAAAAAGCACTTTATCTTTCTGTTGACAGAGGATTAAAGTGCCCACCCCATCTACAAAGGACAAACAACAGCTCAGCGACAGAAGACAGTAGGTTTGAATGTTTGTAGGGAGAGCTTGGACTTCAGTATGTCCCTTTAAGAATACAAACTTTAGAGTCAAACCGCCAAGTTTCTTTTTCTTTTCCTTTTAGAGACAGGGTCTCCTATGGCTCCTGTGGGTCTCAAACTTACTATGGAGCTGAAGATGACCTAGGTCTCCTGATCCTCCTGCCTCCACTCTGTCATGCTAGAATTCCAGGTGTGTGTGAGAGACCATGCCCAGTTTTAGGTGGCATCAAGGCTCAAACCCAGGGTCTCATGCATGGTAGGTACTCTGCCCACTGAGCCACATCACTACTCCCAAACTCGTAACTTTCCAATGATGACTTGGTCTTGTGTGACCTTGCACATTGAATCCCCAGCTCCTAGAAACTCGGCTTGTTCCTCTATCAAATGAGTTTAGTTGCGGCAGAAGTGCCAGTTAAATGGAGCTGCCCATTCAGCATGCCCAGCACCAAAGCTGGCAGAGGAGAAAAGCACCAAGCAGAAGGAAAGGAGAGGGCATTGGAGATTCTGAAAAAGAAGACAACGTGTTTCACGCAGAAGTGGAATAAAGCACACCACCGTGTTGGTTATTTTCCCCATCGCTGTGGCCAAACACCCAGCAAGAAGTTGTTTATGGGTGAAGGGCTGGTTTTGGCTCACTAGTGAGGGTTCTGTCCACCCCAGTGAAGAGGCATGGCGGTGAAGCTGGCTGAGGTGGGGTAGAGGAGGGGAGGGAGAGAGATGCTGCCCTCAGCATGCTTCTTCCCTTCCCCCTTTTCATTTAACGCCAGACCCCAGTCAATCAACCCTTCTGTCTTTATTCAGGATGGATCTTCTCTCCTTGGCTCATTCTCTTTGGAAATGTTCGTGGCATCTGTCTTGGTCAGGGTTTCTATTGCTGGGATATACACCAGGACTAAAGCAACTTGGGGGAGGAAAGGGTTTGTTTGGCTTAGGCTTCCACATCATAGTCCATCATGAGACAATGTCAGGGTAGGAACTTGGAGGCAGGAGCTGATGCAGAGGCCATGGAGGGGTGCTGCTTACTGCTTGTTCTCATGGCTTGCTCATCCTGCTTTCTTATAGAACCCAGGACCACCAGCCCAGGGATGGCACCAGTCACAGTGGGCTGGTCCCTCCTCCATCAATACTAATTAAGAAAATGCCCTACAGGCTTCTCTACAGCTGAGCTTATGGAGGCATTTTTTTTTTTTCAGTTGAGGTTCCCTCCTTTCAGATGACTCTAGCTTGTGTCAAGTTGGCCTAAAACTAGCCAGGACAGCATATCTTAAATTGGAAAACTCTAAGCTGAGCTGTGGCACACATGCAGTTTCTTCAACGAAGGGCCGGCCCAGCAACTGCCCAGTGGAGATGTGGAACTCAACTTCATTTCATCCCTAGATGCTATCAGCAGCAGCTTCCTCCCTTAGAGCCTGGGTCTGCTCAGCTGTCCAGTGGGGCTACTCTCTGCTGCTCACTGGAGCTGTCATCCCCCAGCAAGCTCATGTGCAAGGGCTCTTAGTGAAAGGTCTGTGTCCCAGCCAGCACTTAGCAGGTGCCAGCTGCTGCTGTCTCTCCTCATGGAAATCATAGCATCTCCCTCTGTGGGAAGCCAGAGTGGCATGAGCAACTCCAGGAAAGATCTTCAGAGATTCCCTTCTGTGGACAGAGGTCCTTGTCTGTTTCCTGCAGATCGACACTGGCTGAGTCATAGTTTCTGGCCTGTGAGGTGCTGCCATCTAAACTGGTTTGTGCAGCGGCTGGAATGTCTGGTTTACTTTCATGGAGCTGGTGCACAGGTGTGATCTCCGTGGACCCCAACAGTTACAGCAGGCAACTGATGCACCTGTTAGGTGATGCTGACCATCAGTCAGCATTCCTTCAAGAACATCGGGGAGTAGGAATTGAGGAAGAGGGGGTGGGTGTGGGTGACAAGAGAATAGACCAAGGTCATTTGGGAGTTCAACATGGATTCCTGGTCCGGCTCTGAGACTTCAGAGATATGGGTTCAAGGCCTGCCAACTGCAGTTGCCCCCCACCCCCGTAGTGGGGAGCCGGCCCATTCATCTTTCTATAGCTCAGCTCTCTCTAAAAAGAATGGGATCTTCTGATCAGGGATGTAAGCTTGCTCAAAAAGCTGTGGTCCAGTAATCTCCAGGGCTGTTATCTCATGATTGATGGTGACTATCTTTATAGATGGCGGACCGAGAAAGAGGTCATGGTACTTATTCAGAGAAGGTGACAGGTTCAGGGTGCCCAGTTTGGGAGATCCAGCTGGGGTTGGATGTACAGAGTTTGGCTGCAGTCAGGGTGGGGACCCTGAGCAGTGCTCCTTTGTGGGCTACACCCACTGGTGTAAGTGCTTTGGCTCCTTCTCTCTCTCTACAGGTCAAGTGTACATCCAGGCAGGATGAAGTCAGGGCTGCCAGCTCTTATACCATGGGGACAGGAGCAGCAAGTCATTGACAGTCTGTCTTGATGACTCTGCACAGTCAGGCAATGTGACTGATGAATGGCCACACTGACTGATGAGCTGTTGGGTGCTGTGGCCAGCTCAGCTAGCCCTTCATGAACATTTCCTGTCTTTCTAATCACAGGGAGGACTGAAGGAGTGAGGAGGAGGAGGAGGAGGAGGGGTGAGGGGAGTACCTGTAAGTGTGGTTGGGAGGATAAGTGTTACCACAGCAAGGATAGGAAGAGGGTTTCACCCCTTGGCCATAGCAGCAGTGATGGGCAGGCCTTTTACTGATTGCTCCTGGATTATGCTGGTGGCAGGGTAGGCATGTGTGGTGTGCTGTTATCTGTAACGATAAATCTTTCTGCCAGCTGCCTGAGCCCTGTTGTCATGTGGTTGCCCAAAATAACACACAGAGATTAATATTAAGTACAAATGCTGCTGGGCCATGACTGAGATTTCTTATTTGCTACCTCTGTCTTAAGTATCACCCATAACTATTAATCTATATATTTTATAAACTTATCTTATTGAGGATGCCAGGGCAAGCATCCTGTCTTCCTGGGCACACATGGAGACTCCACAGAGAAGAGATGAGGAGGAAGAGGAAGAGAGTGACTTCCTGCTTGTCCATGCTTATATTCTGGGGTCTGCTTGTTATGCCACTTCCTGCCTGGATCACGACTTCTTTTTACTACATTTCCCAGAATCCTCCTCGACTCCTAGTCCCACCTATCTTTCTGCCTCATTGGCCGAACAGTGCTTTATTCAACAACCAATAAGATAAACATACACAGAAGGATGTCCCCCCATCAGTTATCTGTTGCTCCCTTTCCCTCTTTGTTGGCATCTTTAGGAAGGATGTTATATTCCTGTCCCAGACAGATTGGGGACACACAGCAAGGTCAGGGTCAGTTCTAGGATGACCTGGACTCCAAGAGGAACTGTTCACAGTTTCTCCTCCCTCCTCACCCCAAATCTATCACTTTCATTCAACATGGCCTAGAGACTCATCATGTAGCTTCAAATCCCAGGCAGCTCTCCCACCTCCATCTTCCTTAAGGAAATGGGTACCATGTCATCTGGCATCTTCCCCCCATTCACTGTGGTCTTCTGGGAGCTATCCCTCTTTTTAAACCTTCCTCAAGATAATCTTACCCTCTACCCAACTTCACAGCTACCAAATCTGAGGTTACAGGAGTGCATTTTAGGAAGCTGAGGATTAAAAACAAAACAAAACAAAACAAAACTCTGCTGGTGAGTGGAAAACCAACCAACACAGATCTATTGTAGGTATTTACTGCTGTGACTTTAATGGACAATTTTAGACAACCTAGACTCCCTGGGCAAAGAGTTCCAATGAGGGATTGTCTACATTGGGCTAATCCATGGGCGTGTTGGTGAGGAACTGTCTTCATTAATTTAACCCTAGCGCCTTTCCCTAGGCAGGAGGAACCTGACTGTGTAGCAGGGGAGACAGCAATTTGAATGCAAGCAAGCAAGTAGCATGCTCTCATTGGCTGTGATATCACCACCACCTCGACTTCCTACAGTGATGGACTGGGGAGTCTTGACCCTAAATAATCCCTTTCCCCTCTAAGTTGCTTCCTCATCCCCCCAGGATATTTTAATCACAGCAACAGAAAGGAAATAGAAAAATTGGTCACGGTGTGATAATTTGCTACTGTGCACATCATGAAACCAGGCATTAGCACTTCTGTCTTCTCATGTAGGGGGCGGGAATACTGAATTCCTGTTCCTCTTGCCTCCACCTCCCAAGTGTTGCCACACCTGGTACATACAGTGCTAGGGATTGAACCTGGGGCTTTGTGCATGCTATTGGAGCATGTTACTGATGGAGCTGCAAGCCCAGCCCAAACCCTGATCATTTCCATGTTTTGGGAGTCCTTGGATTCTCTCTATTAAAAAAAGATACAATTTATTCCTAATTATGTGCATACGTGTGTCTCTCTCTGTGTATGTGCATGTTAGCGCAATGCTGGAGGAAGCCAGAAGAGGGCACTGGATCCTCAGGAGCTGGAGTTACAGGTAGTTGTGGGCTACTCAACATGGGTGCTGGGAAGGGAACTCTGCAAGAGCGGTGAGCCCTCTTGACACTGAGTGTCTCCAGCTCCTGGTCTCTCTTCTCAAGCTGTTTTGAAATGTGTTTTAGGTTATTGCAGGATGTAGAGTCCCTACTGTGCCCCAAACACCATCATCAAGACCCCTGCCTACCCACGTCTCTCTATCCTCATCTCTACAGCTCACCTTTCTATGCCATCTTATAGGAGACCTGTGACACCAGTATCACAAATGAGCAAGACCATGTGGAGTCTGCCTTCAGTGCTGGGCTAATTTTACTTAATACTACACCCTCTGGCTCCACCCATTCTCTTCCATGTGTCAGAGTTCCTTTTTCAAAGCAGCGCAGTACTCCACTGGGAACTCAGAGTACGGCGGCGTCATCCTTCTGCCTGTCAGCAGACATCTTCACTACTCCCTTCTCTTGTCCATGTGACTTCTGCAGTAGGTACCAGCCTGAAGGTACCTCTTAGACACAGTGCCCGCACTTCCTTTAAGTACTGCCTGGGACTTCATGTTTTGAGGAATCTCCAAACCTTCTCAATAATGACCACCTTTGCCTGTGTTCCCACAGCAGGGTGTGAGTGCTCCCTCTCCAGAATGGCCACACCTCTCTGTGTTCCCACAGCAGGGTGTGAGTGCTCCCTCTCCAGAATGGCCACACCTCTCTGTGTTCCCACAGCAGGGTGTGAGTGCTCCCTCTCCAGAATGGCCACACCTCTCTGTGTTCCCACAGCAGGGTGTGAGTGCTCCCTCTCCAGAATGGCCACACCTCTCTGTGTTCCCACAGCAGGGTGTGAGTGCTCCCTCTCCAGAATGGCCACACTTATCTGTGTTCCCACAGCAGGCTGTGAGTGCTCCCTCTCCAGAATGGCCACACTTATCTGTGTTCCCACAGCAGGGTGTGAGTGCTCCCTCTCCAGAATGGCCACACTTATCTGTGTTCCCACAGCAGGCTGTGAGTGCTCCCTCTCCAGAATGGCCACACTTATCTGTGTTCCCACAGCAGGGTGTGAGTGCTCCCTCTCCAGAATGGCCACACTTATCTGTGTTCCCACAGCAGGGTGTGAGTGCTCCCTCTCCAGAATGGCCACACTTATCTGTGTTCCCACAGTAGGGTGTGAGTACTCCCTCTCCAGAATGGCCACACTTATCTGTGTTCCCACAGCAGGGTGTGAGTGCTCCCTCTCCAGAATGGCCACACTTATCTGTGTTCCCACAGCAGGGTGTGAGTGCTCCCTCTCCAGAATGGCCACACTTATCTGTGTTCCCACAGCAGGGTGTGAGTGCGCCCTCTGAATGATGGCCACTCTTGTCTGTGTTCCCACAGCAGGCTGTGAGTGCTCCCTCCTCACACTCATGCCAGCATTTGTTGTATTATTAATCCATCTGTCTTGATAGCCTCATTCTAACTGGGTGGGTGGTGGCCTGTGACACCAGTATCACAAATGAGCAAGACCATGTGGAGTCTGCCTTCAGTGCTGGGCTAATTTTACTTAATACTACACCCTCTGGCTCCACCCATTCTCTTCCATGTGTCAGTTATTTTATTCCATGTGTCAATTATTTTAAATTAATACTCCTATTATTAATACTCCTGGTGGAAGTTCTTGTGCATCAGAGAGGATCAGAGCACTGCCACCTTCTCTCTTGCTCTGTGGCTCTCCTCAGTTTTGCCTCTTAGATGAGGTGGCATGAGGTGGGGGTTGGGCTACAACCTGCTCCCTCAAAAAAAGCAGAGGGGGACATTTGTGTGAAGATGGACTCCACCATCGTCGCAGCCAACCTCTGGGGCCCTAGGGTGACCAGGTGACATCTCCACAACCAGAGCCAACAGGAGACAATTTTGGCTGCCTTCCCTGCCCATCCGGGGATCTTTTGATCCACAGAGGCCTCCCTGTCCTATACCAAAGTGCTCTCCCCTGAACGCAAAGCAGATCTTCCTGGCCGGCTCCAAACCTCGGGTCAACGTCAAGATTGATGAGCTGCGCCTGTAGCCTGCAGTCCATGTGGCCTGAGGACTCGGCTGGAACACCAGCCAGCTAAGCGCCATGAGAAGCAGAGTCCCACTGTACTTAGTCTAAATTGGATCCCGGGCTTCAGAAATGCAGCGAGTTAATAACTCGCTCTAATGGGCTTTTCCCCAGGCCCCAGGGACCACTGAGTTAAACGCATTCCTCTATTTCCGAGCACTTAGGAATCTCAGTTACACACGACAGATTCTTCCTTTATCATGTGCACTCAGCACTCTGTGTGGGTGCTGTCAATCAACCCACCCATCTGCCAGCCCCTCTGTGAAAGAGCAGCTACCAACTTTCTCCTCAGGCTGACCCTCAGCACATTGTGATATCGCTCCTGCTCTTAAGAAGACACACGTGGAAAACCAAATACAACAGTCACACAGGTGTGTGTGTGTGTGTGTGTGTGTGTGTGTGTGTGTGGTGGGGTAGTTGTTAATGAGACACTCCCAATGCAGACGATCTCTCCAGGGACAAGCGGAACAGACACCATCATATTTGGATTCCTGTGTGCCGACAAGCACCCGACACCCCACAAACACCAAGGGAGTGGGAGGGGGATTTGGATGTAATCAGGGGCTAACGACGTTTCCTCCTGAGTGGCTATACAAGACCATGTTCTCATGCTACATTCCAACAAGTCCTTCTACAGCCTGGCCCTCAGGCTTCTCCCAGGCCAGTTAGTTCTAGCTCCCCTCCACCACACCCAGGCATTAGTTATCTTTTTGGTTGTTGTACCAAATACACACAGGAAGCAATGGAAGGGAGGGGACATTATTTCCTTCATGGTTTAGAATACCTATGGTCCCTCAGTCCATGAAGGCATGGCAGTGGGAGTGTGTGGCTGCCTGCTTACATCTCAGTAGACCAGGAAGCAGAGAGAAGGGGATGGAAGCTCTCACTCCATTTCTTCAGCAGGTGATACTGGGCCATGGGAGGACCCTGCTCACATGCACGGTGACTCCCCTTCCCTCAGCTAACCCTCTTCGGAGGCTCCCTTAGAGGGGAGGTGTGCCTAAAGGCTGTGACTCATCAGCACCTTGGGGAGGGGGGCGCTAATTTTAAAAGTTTGTTAGCACAGTATTAATTGTACATAAGGGGTTTCCTTATATCATTGTCATGCATGCATATAATGCATTTTGAACACATTCACCCCATTGCCTCTACAGTTCTGCTATCCCCTTCCTCTTTCCAGCCATCCCACCCTTCTACCTTCATGCCTTTTTTTTTTTTTTTTTTTGGTGGTGACCCAATGTGTTTCATTAGGGTTACTTGCAGGAGCAGGAGTAAAGGGAGGACTAATTTCACAGGAGTATGGATGGCTTCCCAGTGTCTACGCCACTAGGAGAATGTTTCTCCCACTCCTTAGGCCTTTCTTACTCGAGCAGAGAATTAACGATCACAAACCGGTTTGCTTGGGGACAAAATGAGTAGATCTCTTCCATGCTGTCTTTCTCTTTGGAGGAGAACTGATTGGCAGCAAGGGGTGATGGGTAATGGAAAGGTGGGTAGCAGAGATCATTGATGTACTATCTCTGACTCACTGTAGGGACACAGGGAAAACCTGAGACTCCCAGCCTTTCTTTGGTACATGGAGTTGGTGTGATCGCCATCGGACTGAAATGCACACAGGAAACTGGCTGGCTAAGTGTGTCTCCAGGTGTGTCTGTGGGGGCCTGATTGAGGAGGGGAGATCTGCCAAAAATGTGTGACCATCCATCTCATGGCTGGGGTGCTGGAAGGAACCAAGAGGGTAGCCACAATCACAGGAGCTCTTCCTGCTTCCTGCAAGCACTCTTTCCTGCCACAGCCCTACTGCAGTCCTCATCACCTACAGAAGCCTCTGAGTCTGAGCCCAGGCGGGTCTTCCCTCCTCTAAACTCTGCCTTGTAAGCATCAGTGGGCCTAAAGCAGTCAGTGCTGAGATAGAAAGACCCCTGAGTACCTTCCTTGGTCCGCTAACCTTCAGGGGAGACACGGGAAGATTCCCTCCACGCAGTGAAGACCTGCAGGGTTCATCTCATGCTCACTGGCAGAGATGCCTGAGGTAGATCAGTGAGGCCCCAGGGTCACATCCACCCTGCTTGCATGTGGACTCGGATGAAGCTGGGTCTTCATCTTTACACAGTGCGGAAGACCTAGGCTTTTCCGAGAGAGGCACAGATGGTAAGCGTGTGGGACAGCTCATCACTGTCAACAGCTGCGATGAGCGTGCCTTAGGCCTGGGCCTCATAATGCTTCCAACACAACCATGGTGCCTTTACGAGCCACACCTTTCAGCTCACAGTCTGCTCAACTTCAAATCCATAGAAGAAATTCCACAGAAGGTTCTGGAGACCTGTCTCAGTGTCCTCAGTGTCATGTGGGTTCCCATTGGCTTTAGTTGTCCCAAGTTCCATCCATCAATCCAATACAGTCAGCCCCAGACTTATGAGATCGGCTCCTATTACAAGTTTTCAGCTTTCTGTTGATGTGAAGTCTCCCTGTGTTCAGGAGGAGTTGCCCTTTGAGCCTTTTGCTGTTTTCTGGCTGATCTCACATGCTCACAGTGCAGCTCCCAGGGAGTGATACCATCTTCAAAGCAGGTAGAGCTCTAGGTCAGGACCACCAAGGGCATTTGGACTTATAATGTCTGTGAGTTGTTTTCTTCATCTTAAATGAGGGGCATTGACACCCCAATCCCTGCACAGGCTTCTTCTCCTCTGGGATTTAGTCTTCTCCCTTAATTCTTAACACCACCAGAGACATCAGTCATGGCATTGGGGATGCTCTTTTCCATGCTGGATTCTTTCTTGTCCCCCACTCCCCACTGAGATGACTCTAAGGATAGAGCTCATGTCTCCTCTGCTTGTTGACGGGTCTCTAGAATCTACTCCGTGACCATGGACCTGACACATAGGTGCCCCAAAAAACATCTCTTCATGAACATGCATCCTGTGTAGACAGTAGGACTTGGTGCTTTAGGCAAGGCCCATGTTTGTCTAAATGACATCTTGTGGACACTTTATGCTGCAGGCTGAGCATCCCGTATTCGGAAATCCAAAGTGCCCCGCATCACAACACAGATAGAAATTTCACTGCAGAACTGGGCTTTGCAAATTGCATTACTGAGAATATTGTATGAAAACAGCTTCAGGCTGTGTGTGTAAGGTGCCTATAAAATGGTACGGAGTTTGTTTTCAGTCCTAGCTTCACACCCAAGATAGATGACTGTGCTTGTGTGTAAACAGTCCTGAATTTGAACAAACTGAAACTGGCCCAGGGACTCGAACACTGGTCGTCAGTTTCCAATAAGCACATTTCAGCTGACATGCAGAGAGCAGGAGGCAGAGGAGTCACATATGGCATACAGCTCCTGGTTGTGTCAGCAGGACAGATGGACACTCAGCTGGTACACTTCTTGCTTGACTGCCATGGTTTGGGGCCCTGATTAGCATGCTGTGCTCACTGGGGTGGATTTGGATGGGAGATTTTGGTGCCAGCACAAGCCACTCTAAAATGCAGCAGAGTATATGTGCAAATTGACCCCCAGGCTGCCCCCAAGGATGTACAGGAGTCTGGGGGCTGCAGGGGACTCTGGCAGGTGCCAAGTGGGTAAGCTTGCATAGGGACTGTCACAGGGACAAGAGTGACTATTTGATCCATTGTCCTCTCTGCCGTGGCTTCTTCCCAACCCATGGGTGTCCTTTGTAATTCATGCTAGGTTCAGAAATCTGGGAACATTTCTTTATTTCCATTTCCATTTCATCAACATGCTGGCTGGCCACTGTACCCTCCCTCCCTATGTATCAGCCCAGAGAGCTGTTGGCACCGTGCGTGCGATTGTACCTGTATCTTTAACCCTGATTAACAGGGCTGGCTCACTACCCATTGAACCCTCCCTCTGCCCACCTGCCTATTTCTCCAGCCCCTGTCATCTACCTGCATCCACTCATGTCTCATGGTGGACTTTGTGACTTCTTAGAGTGTGGCCCAAGGAGAGGACACAGTGTGATTAATTAGAGTAAATGAAGTCACCAAGGAAAGGAGGAAGCCAATGTGGGATCCCTGTCAGCATCAGACTGCCTGTATTCCCACGGAGAGAAATCAAGTCCATGAAGGAAGCCACGTGGTTCACAGGTGAGCTTCAGAGACTCGAATTAAGTTAGTGATTAGTCTCCTTCAGCTGTGAGCCTGGACTCCTAGGCAGAAACAAAGGGACTCCAGCATGCATATAAAGATGCATTTGGAGGTGCAGTGAAGCCAGGATGGTAAGGGGACCAGATTCCATCCCCCCAAGCCTGTTCCCCACTTTGTAAAGTTAAGATGTTGATCTTTGCACTCTCATTCTTAAAGAAGCAAAT